CTTCTCGGCTCTGTTGTGTGCAGCTCGCTTGGTTAGGGGCTTCGAGATGCATACACTTGGGGTTTCCTTCTCTGGATGCTCATTTAGCACTGATCTGAAAGAGTTACTGCTCTGGTGTGTTTGAGATTTCACTCCTAAGACCGAAGGCAGTAGTACGCAACCACCAGCGTGGAGAGCCTCACATTGGGCAGTACAAGAGTCATCGACTCCACTGTGTAGGGCCTTGGTTGCGGCATCCTATTGGTTGTATGTGGGGTGCATTAACGCTTGTGTTGCTCAGGGCTAATTAGCATTTGTCACCCACAGGCGCATACCAAAAAAAAAAATTCTTTCTAACCTGTTAAGTCGTGTTCCCTGACCACAAGAGAAAAAAATCAATTGTATTTACTGACAACATAATTGAGCTGATAATATGGGCGATGATGTCACACCCCGTATGATCGCTCATGCATGGTCAAGATGACCTGGACAAAATAAGTATATGGAGCACCACTTGGCAAATGGAATTTAATGTTAATAAATGCCATGTTATGGAATGTGGAATAGGAGAACATAGACCCCACACAACCTATATATTATGTGAGAAATCTTTAAAGAATTCTGATAAAGAAAGAGATCTAGGGGTGGTTCTAGATAGAAAACTATCACCTGAGGACCACATAAAGAATATTGTGCGAGGAGCCTATGCCACGCTTTCTAACCTCAGAATTGCTTTTAAATACATGGATGGCGATATACTAAAGAAATTGTTCATGACTTTTGTTAGGCCAAAGCTAGAATATGCAGCAGTTGTGTGGTGCCCATATCTTAAGAAGCACATCAACAAACTGGAAAAGGTGCAAAGACATGCTACTAAGTGGCTCCCAGAACTGAAGGGCAAGAGCTACGAGGAGAGGTTAGAAGCATTAAATATGCCAAAACTAGAAGACAGAAGAAAAAGAGGTGATATGATCACTACATACAAAATAGTAACAGGAATTGATAAAATCGATAGGGAAGATTTCGTGAGACCTGGAACTTTAAGAACAAGAGGTCATAGATTTAAACTAGCTAAACACAGAAAGCCGAAGAAATATAAGAAAATTCACTTTCGCAAACAGAGTGGTAGAGGCGCAGGGTGCTGCACAGCTTGTATTCCCGACATAGCGGTTGGCTCTGTTCCTTGGGGTTTGCTGTTCTCTTGCGGGGTTTTGTTTTTCTTTTTGTTTTTGCCTGGTGGGGGGTTCTGCCCTATTATTTCACTGGTGTTTGCCCTTCCACGGTTCTCCTCGGTGGCGCCCCCTGCTAGGTCCCCGTGAATGTACACATCCATGGGGTACAGCTATAGAAGTTCGCTTGGTAGTTTTGGGCGCCGGTTAGCAGCGCCCTGCCTGGGACTACCTGAGTGCGAGTCCTCTTAAAGTAAACGCTCAGGACCCTGGGAATCCCCTAAGGGGCTCGTGGGTCCGATTGATGTGACCCCGGAGTCCCTGCTCGCTGTGTGCGAGTTTGAGGGTTGCTCGGTCCCCTTGTCTCAGGGTGACCCTCACTGATTTTGCCTCTGCCACGCCTCTGGTGGCGGCGGTGGACGGCTTCTCCCTCTTTGGGGGGTTCAGAGCTGGTGGGGTGAGCTTCTTTCCCTGCGCTTCATCCTGTCATCTTGGTGGTCGTGGCCCCATCCTTCTGGGGTTCCCGTCTGCTCTTTGCAGACATGGGCCTTCGAATCTGCGGTTCTTCTGAACTACTTCAGTCTGCACCCTGGTTTCTATGCCCTCCTAGGAGGACTGTTGTCTCCTGTCCGGCTTCTGTTGTGGCCGGGTGCCTGGATGGTGGCCCTGGACCTCCAGGTCAATTATTGGCACTGGGTGTATATTTGCATCTTTACCGGATCTTGGTGCCCTGTCTGAGTCTGCTTGAGATTCGGTGTCTGGCCTACCTCGACGACTGGCTGGTGTGGGCTCTCAGTCGGTCCGTTTGTCTGCTCGCCAGGGGTGTGGTTCTTTCCAGATCGCCGGGTTTGGTTTCCTGGTGATCTGGAGGCCATTCCATCTGTTTCCATCCCGGGTTCGGACCTGGGCCTTGTTTAGGGCTCTTGGGCCACTCCTTGTCTTTCCCTCCAGAAGTGTTACTGCGGCTGTGGTCCCACATTCGGCTGTGCATGAGGGGGTCCCGGGTTGCTCGAGCAGTTGTGCAGAAGTTTGAACTCTGACGTGCTGGTCTGCCTGCGGGGTCGGGTTTGGCTTCGGCGTCTGTTTGGTTCCTTCGGAGACTCCCCTTCTGCCTCTTGCAATCGTTGGGTTTGTTCCTCCGGGGATTTTGTGTTGGTGCTGCGTCACCAGCTTCCTCTTTTGGGTTTTCGGGGTTCCGTGCCTTGGCACCTCCCCAAGCCTTTGCTCGATGTGTTCACAGACAGGGCATCTCTCGGCTGGGGTTTTTGTGACCAGTGCTCACCAGGTCGGCTGGAGATGGTGGAGTCTGTCCGTCTGTCGGGCTCACAGCACGGTTCGGGAGTTCATGACTGTCTGGTTTTGCGCTTCAGAGGGTTTGGGTCACTCGGTGCTCTGCCATTCCTCTCCTTTCGGACTGTTCTCTGGCGGTTCTTGCCGGAACCACAGGTTTTCTCTTAGGTGTTGACCTTTGGGGTTGGTTCCTTGGAGTGGCTCGTTTGCTGGATTCTTGGGGTTTGGCTAACCTTGAGTTTCATGTCCGGGATGTGTCCTGCGTCCTGGCGGACAGCTGTCTCGGTTCATTCCTCTGTTCGCGGATTGGCCAGTCGTCGCCGACTCGTTTCGTTGGCTCTGCCGGACGTATGGACTCCTGGCCATGGACGTTCTTTGCGTCGGCGTGGTCTAGGCGTCACCCATTTTATGTGGCGCCCTTACCCGCCTGCGAGGCGTTCACGTTGGATGCTTTTCGGCGGGACTGGTCGAGATGGGGGTACCTGTTCCTCTTCTCCCGGTCCAGCTGTTGCTTCGGGTTCTGGCTCGGTTGCAGCCCATTCCCACGAGAGCAGTCCTTATGGTTCCTTGGTGGCCGGCCCAGCTTCTTTTCAGGCACTGCTTGAAAGGTGTCTGAACCCAGGGTGTTTTTCCCGCGGCTCCGCCTCTTTTGGCAGGTCGGATCGGTCCTGTACATGACTGGTTCGGCCTTTTCCTCGGCTGTTCGCGTCTGGTATTTTGACGCAGGTATCACCATCTCTGTGGTGTTCAGGTGGCCTTGTTGACGGTGTCCCACCTGCGGGTTTCGTCTTGGCGACAGTATGACGTTCCTGGTGTTTCTATGCACTTTTTCTTGCTCTTTGTACATTGTCTTACTCGTTCACATCGGGTTGTCTTGTCATTTCTTGGGTTTTCTGGACTACTGTTATATGATGTTTTCTTACTGTTGCCTCGTTTTATGCGGCGCTGGCAGAGCCGCTCCGGCTTGTGTTCGGGGTGGACGTCACATCTGCCCCGTTTTGTACGCTTTCTCGTGTTTTGTTTCACCTCCGGCCTGCTCATGTGTCGCCTGCGCCGTCCTGGTCCTTGATCAGGGTGCCTTCTTATCTTCTCCTCAGTTTGTGGTAGCCCCTTCGGTTCCGGTTTCTGCTCTTTGGTACTGGTGGTAGATTTGTACGTGTGCAGCCTTTCTCCGTCCTGGCGATGGTCGGGGTTCTTGGGTTATTGATGCTTGATTGGTTTGGCCGGGGGGTGCGTCCTGTGTTGTCCGGTTGCATTTTTTGGCGTTCCCTGCGTACCATGTCTGGGGGATGCGCTTTGGTTTGATCCGGTTCCCCTCGTTCCCTGTTTCATGGCTCGGGTCTCTCAGGTCGTCTGCAGAGTTTTTTCAGTCTTCCAGCCTGCGGTCTGTCTTTGCGCCCGTGCTGTTCGGACGTTTGCAGCTTTTGCTGCTGTGTTGGTGACGTCTGGGGCTCATTTTGGGCGCAGGGAATTGAGGGTCGCACAGGTTCTTGGCCACCCATTCTTTATGTGTGTCTGCTCCTGTGCGTTCTTGTTCCCTTGGGGCGCAGGTTGCATCCTGTTGTCTCGGCTTCGCGTTGCGAAGTTTGTGGCGGCCGCCTCCCGGGTTAGCCCTTTCTTTTCCTTCTCTTTGAGTATGAAGCTCCAGGGAGCCGTAGGGGCTTCCCACAGAAAACCAGCGTTGAATGTAATGAAACGCCATTTTCTGGGTGAGCCCTGGAGGCTCCCTGGCAACCCTCCCTCCCACCGGTCGGCGTTTTTTTCGCGTTGGTTGAAGCTTAGCTTCCAAACTGGAGCTTGGCAGTCGGCGTGGTAGGTCCAGGGCTTCCCCTCCCCCTCTCGGGGCGGGGAGGGCTGCACGGACGATCGGCGTGGCAGTAAAGTGTGATGTTTGCTTGTTTCCTTGGGATTGTAGGGAGTTTCTACCTCTCTGTTCGGTTTTTTGTTTTAGTTTTTTACCATGTGGGGTTTGTTTTGTCATGCTTACCTTTCTGGGTGCCTAACCCCGGTCGATGGCAGATAAGGAAAACCCCAACCACAAGAGGGTTTTCCAGTGCCATTGCTCCCTGAAACCTCTCTGAAGTGGCCAGGTTCTGGCGCTGGTCCCTGGTAGGTCTGAACTCCTTAGCTAATGTCCCGGTCTAATGTAACATACATTAGCCCGATAAGCTCCAGGGAGCCTCCGGGGCTCATCCAGAAAATGGCGTTTCATTACATTCAATGCTGGTTTTTTGCCAGATTTCCCCGCCCTATTGTGGCCAAAATATGCCACCCACGATTTTTTTTCCCGTGATTAGGGAACACAAATGAACACTTCTATAAGATGGAAGAATTTTTTGTATTTTTTTTGTTGCACCTGGCAGTGTTGCAGGCCAAAAAGCCCTTAGCAGTTTAAGGGTTAATTTGTTCAATACTGTATTTTGGCATGCTGAAGAATTAATAAAGCATAGTAAGATAATTAAGAGTATCTATTGTGTGTAAAAGCATTTTACTCAAAACATTTTGTTTGTTCTTTCCATGTGTGTTGTATTTTCATTAATGCTATTCATACTTTTCTTGCAGACATCGTTTCTGGCTTTGAAAGCTAAAGACATGAAGGAAGGTAAAGTTGATAAGACATCGTACTTGTGCACAATATCTTGAAATTTACGGTTAGCTTTCTGTATTTTCATTTTGTAAATAAAAATCTAATTTCTCTGACTTTATTTTTGCCTCCTTTCAGTATTTAAATTAATATGACAAGTAATGCAATATGAGAGAGATTAGTTTTATAGAATACATTTTATGAAATTACAAGAATGAGTCCAATACTACTGGACAGCTTGTGGTAGCATATTGTGTGTGTGAGAGCGTGGTGATGTGGGGTCACCTCGCTCCATATAGAGCTTACATTCAGACAAGGTGTGTGTGTGTTGGCACGCAAGCTTTATGCCAACTCCTTGACTTTATTGACTTTATGAACACCCAGGAAAAGATCTTTGACTGTGTGGTGTAGCAGATAACGAGATCTTGAGGTTATCTTGAGATGATCTCGGGGCTTTATAGTGTCCCCGCGGCCCGGTCCTCGACCAGGCCTCCACCCCCAGGAAGCAGCCCGTGACAGCTGACTAACTTCCAGGTACCTATTTACTGCTAGGTAACAGGGGCATAGGGTGAAAGAAACTCTGCCCATTGTTTCTCGCTGGCACCTGGGATCGAACCCAGGACCACAAGTCCGGTGTGCTGTCCGCTCGGCCGACCGGCTTCCGGGCGGACAGAGATGGTGGTGGAAAATGGGGAGCGGGTGTAGTTGCCACCACCCATCCTGGTCTGGCGAACCCGTCCTCAACTAAAGTCCATTACATCCAGTGGTCAACCCCACAGACGCATTCATAAATTTTTACATGCTGTTCATTCAAAACAGGAATTTTTTCAAATATAAATTAATATTATAATAGCATATTGTGCATGTATAAACATAGGTTAAGTTAAGTGTTTAGGTTCTGTTAGCAATTATTGGTATTTGTAGTACGTGGGTGAAGCATTTACAGCGTTGTGGTTTGAACAAGATTTGTCAGTGAAGCACTTGGTTCTGGAAGTGTTTGAATGAAATCAGTGGCGAGTCTTGTGTAACCGTTTTTCATTCATAAACAATGGGTTTGGCGGGTGCATGGAATCACTTTTGGGTCTTTGTTTAGAGGACGAGCTGAGTCTGGCAGACTGTGCATACTAGTTCCTCTTAAATATACAGACCTACTCCTCCATTTGAGGAGGAGTAGGTATTCCTATTCCTAAATTATAATCTAGGAATGAGATTTTACTATCGTGTAATCTCTAGTATGGGTTTCTGTGAATGCCCCAAATATTGATTTCATCTATTAACTAGGCCATTTATGAACACATCTTTATTTCTCAATTTTGACCTTAGGCTTTGTATGTTGGCAGATTAAAATTATAAAAATTATATATAATATATGAATTATGTAATTATAAAATTTTGAATTAAATATAAAAGTGGAAAGTATGTTTACGTTTACGTGTTTGGGTGACAAGACTCAGAGTTTAGAGGTTTTTATATTTAATAGTCTTGGTTACAGAAGTCAGCTGTTGGCAATGTAGTGGCATGTTGTGATAGCTGAGACGCGTCCTGGAGCAGAGAGTGAGCTTGAGTGAGGCTGGGGGTAGAGAGCTTGGATGCAGAGTGAGAGCGTAGAGCTTGAATTCGTCCTTTGGAAGTTCTGGCCTCCCTCCTTTCCAGGTGGAGGGATGGGAGGTGCACAGTGCGTACCTCCTGCATGACCTGGATTTTGCCTCTGACATGACTGAATGCGTTGTGAGGTTCTAGTGTTTTTATATATCAATAAAAATAAAAATAATTACAGTATGTACCAGGAGCTGGGCTTTATTTGTTGCTCTCACTTGCTTGAATTGTGTACAGCTTCTGGGTTACAGGTTTCTGGGGGCATTTTCTTGCACTGTCTTATCCATGTTTACCTGTTTGCCCTGCTCCCCCATGGGATGTCGGTTTTTGGCCGCTCCATGTTCAGGTTCCTAAGTTGTTGGCTATTCTGTAGCAGTAGACTTTCACACTTGTTGCACCTGGTCACTGTCATGTGCTTCTTAAGCCTTACTGGGGTTTGGGTTTCTGCTGTGGCACCATCAGCCATTCTTTCCTTATGCCCCTGTCCCTTGGAAGGTAGTGGCTGAGTATCCTGCCTCCCAGCTCCCGTGTTTACAGGCAATTCTGACCTCCTCTTAAGGAGAACAGCATTGGGCCCCTTGCTTTTCTTTTCTCCAATTTGTTTTCTGGAGAAGGTTGTGGAATAGAGTATTTTTTGTGTTTGTGGCAGTTAGGTGGGGCTAGGGCCATTTTGAAGCCAGAGACTGGGCTATTTCCACTTCTTTAGGCCAGTTCTTTGGTTGACGCCATGCTCTCCTTCGGATTTTGGTTCAAAGGTTTGGCACCGACCCTTTTCATTGTATTCCCTGTGATGGGTCAGAGGCTCTTGCAGTTTTCCAGTTCCTGGTCCGACAGTTATTTTTTTTTTTTTTTAAGGGATCAAGTCTACTGGGTGTACCAGGTCTCTTCTCTTATTCTCTTCTTTGTGGGGTCATTTTGTTCCAGGGCTCATGTTTCTCCGATCGTCCGCAGTGTTCTTAAGTCTAGCCAGCCTGCAGTCTACCTTCGTGCCTGTGTTAAAATCAAGAAATAAAATGAAGTTCATAAATGGCCTCCTATTAGTCAAACTCAATATTTGGGGCATTCACGGAAACTCATACGAAAGATTACATGGATAGTGAAATCTGAATTCTAAATTATAATTTATATAGATGTGATAGAAAAACTAGGTCAAATGGAGGAGTAGGTCTGTATATTAAAGAGGACCTGGTATGCACAGAGCTACTAAACTCAACTAATGAGGTGGTAGAGGTACAGTACTTGGAAATAAGGTAGAAAAAATAAATAATTATTATTCTAATATAAAAACCGCCAGATACAACAGTTGAGGAATTCACAGAGCAGATGCACAAAATCGAGAAAATCCTTGATAATCTAGCAAACTCAGCTCCAGATATTATCTTCCTTGGAGATTTCAATTTACCGAGTCTAAGATGGAGAATGGCAAACAAAAATATCATAGCAGGGAACCACCCGGGAAATAACCAACCACAGGTCAGAGAACTGTTGAGATTCTGTGACAAATTCTCGCTCAATCAAAAGATTACAGAACCAACTAAGAATGAAAACACACTTGACTTGTTATTCACAAACAATGATGAACTAATCAGAGACATTACAATCTCAGATACTACATACTCAGACCATAAGCTCATTAAAGCGCAAACTAGCATAAATAACGGTAGTAGGTCCAAGAGACCCAACAAGCGAGAAGGGGTATTCAATCAATTCACTTTCAACAATAAGAGGATCGACTGGGACAAAATAAATGTAGACCTTACAAACATTCAATGGGAGACAGTCTTAAGCAACAAAACTCCCACTACACTAGGTAATTAACTAACTACACTTAGGTAATTACAGGGAATAGCTCAACTGACAGCTGAAGCTTACAAGGTCTGCTTGAAGCACGTGCCTGTGAGGAGGGGCAGAAAGAGGACAACTCTAGAAAGACAACGCAAACGACTGTACAGAAGGAAAAAAATAATGGAAATGCTTAGGCAGACACAACTATCACAAGAAAGGAAAGTAAACCTAAACAGGGAGATCGAAGAAATAGAGCAAACGTTGAAGCGATCATACGAGTCTGAGGAAATGGAATTGGAACGGAAAACTATACAAGAGATAAAAGAAAAAGTCCAAAATATTTTTTCACATATGCAAAATCAAAATCAAATACCTCCACCCAGTATTGGACTTTTAATTACAACCGAAGGTACGTAGACAGAGGACAACAATGAAATTAGTGAGATTCTAAGAAGCCAGTATGAGGCTGTGTTCAACACACCAATAAACAACATTAAAGTTGATGATCCAGACAGCGACTTTATGAATGACATTCAAGCTGCAGATAATTTAACGGATATTAACACGAACTCAGAAGACTTTGAAAGAGAAATTGACAGTATGTCCATGCACTCGGCTCCTGGGCCTGACTTGTGGAATTTAATATACATAAAGAAATGTGAAGTTCTAGTAGCGCAAGAGCTCAGCGTAATATGGAGAAAGAGCCTGGATACAGGGGAGATACCAGCTGCGCTTAAATCTGCAGATATAGCTCCTCTGCACAAGGGGGGGTAGTAAATCCTTGGCAAAAAATTATAGACCAGTTGCACTAACATCACACATAAAAGTTTTTGAAAGTGATTAGGAATCAAATTTCTAGTTTTATGGAAAATAATGAGCTACACAACCCAGGACAACATGGATTTAGAGAGGGAAGATCCTGTCTGTCACAGTTACTATCACTATGACAAAATCACAGAAGCTTTAGACGAAAAGCAAAATGCAGATGTATACACAGACTTTGCAAAGGCATTCGACAAATGTGACTATGGAGTGATAGCACACAAAATGAGGTCAATAGGAATGACTGGTAATGTAGGACGCTGGATACTTAATTTCCTGTCGAACAGAACACAAAGAGTAACAGTCAATCAAATCAAATCGAGTCCAAGCGCAGTTAAAAGCTCTGTACCTCAGGGTACAGTCCTTACACCACTGCTTTTCCTTATTCTCATATCAGATATAGACAAAAATACAAGTCACAGCTTCGTGTCATCCTTTGTAGATGACACAAAAATCAGCATGAAAATTACCTCTACTGAAGACATTGAAAAACTATAAGCAGATATTAACAAAGTTTTCAATTGGGCAGCAGAAAATAACATGATGTTTAACCCTTGTATTGTTAAGGGCTATTTGGCCATTGTCATCCACAGGTGCATAAAAAAAATATATATATATTTTTTCTTCTAAACCTGTTAATTTGTGTTCTCTGATCATGGGAAAAAAAACCAGCGTTGAATGTAATGAAACGCCATTTTCTGGGTGAGTCCCGGAGGCTCCCCGGAGCTATCCCAGGCTGATATGCTAATGTCAGACTTTGGCATCAGTCATGTGTATGGAGTTCTTAGGCCTACCGGGGACCACGGCCAGAACCGGGCCCCCTCAGAGAGGCAAGGGGAGCAATGGCCTATAGAAGCCCCCGTGTTAGTGGAAGCATTCTATGTCTGCCATCGACCGGAACAGGCACCCA